TGGGACCCTTATATACCTACTATATAGGGTATATGCTTCTAACCTTCCAGAGTGTTTTTTCGCCAAGCCAAGGCTCATCGAAGCGGACCAGGGCTGTCTCGCACAGGCCAGGTCCAGACCGCAGCCACTTCCACTCGCTCGCTTGCAGCGCGTTCGGAGCGAATGCTGGAGGAGCTGCCTGCCATGAAAGTTGGAAGCATGGTCTTAGGGTTTTAGGTTTTAGGGTTCAATGAAGTAGAACCCCGGTTTAGGGTTCGGTCTCGCACGTCGGCCGAAAAACTAGGAGTGCAGGGTCTTGGATCGGGTAGCACTCGTCCTATGTTGGAGACCTCAGGTTGCTATCCTGATCTCAAGCCGCCGGAGGCTGCGGGAGTTCTGCGTAAGGGCATCAGCAACAGATAGCCGCTACTGCAATGTAGGCACGACATTGGTTGTTGTTGCTGAAGTACTGTAGCTAGTGCTTTTGTATTTACGGATGTTGTATATCATGCGCAGAAAACTCCCATGCGCTACAAGCAGGTCAAAACCCTCTACTTGGTGCGGCATGGCGAGGCAGCCGCCTGGCACGAAACCTGTATTTGCCAAAGCCTGGTTCTCTCGTTTCGCCACACATCAGTAATTAGTCTCCATGGCTCCGTCAGGTCCACAACATCAAGGAAAAGCAGGCCCAGCTGAACGCCAAGCAGCAAGCCTTATCCGATGGCCTCACGCCCAGCTCAGGCGAGTTTCAGGCGCGATAGCCGAGCTCAGAGCTCTAGTCCTCACGCCCGTTCTGCCTCGGTTACCAGGTTAAAGAAAGTATTCTTAGGTTTGTTTCAGGAAGACAGCGTCGAATGTTGTTGAAATTGATTTGCTTCTTCGGTTTCTTGACAGCCACTTGTTTCTTTGTGAGGGATGAGCGAATGAAGCTCATGTGCAAGTGCAGGCGCGTGTGGAAACGGCCAGGCACGCAGCTGTGCAAACAGACGGGGGTCGGCCTATGCAAGCTATTCTAGTTCACTTCTGGGGGATTTTAAGTATATTCTAAAAGATTCTAGTTCACTTCAGGGGGATTTTAGGTATATTCTAAATGATGTAGACGGCCGCATGTTTGTGGTTATTCAGGAAGCAGGTGCTGCAGGATGAGACCCTTCACGACGCTGCTCTGTCAACTTCTGGCAAGATGCAAGCATTGGATGCCCTTGCTGAAATCAAGAGGCTGACGATGCAACTTGCTTCCTGATCGAGAAAGATCTAAGCTTTTCGGGAGACATTTTCCTGACCAGTCATATGGGTGGCCGGTAATACGTCCTGCTACAAATTCAGGCAAAGCTACCCGCAGCCCACGGCTATCTACGTCTCTCCTCTGCAACGGACTCTGCAAACGGCGGCGATCCTCTTTCCGGAGCATCCGAGCATTCATGAACCTCATCTGCTTTCGGCAAACACTTGCTTGATTCCTGTCTGGGGCGGACGTAGCATTAACACTAGTACGTCCTATTGGCTATGTGTATGATACGTCTTTCTGGCCATGTGTCTGAACAAGTTTGTCTCGATTTGCATTCCTCATTTAGACTTTGATAGTGATGAGTTTTATGTCATAGTGGCCATGTTCATCACTTCTGCTGCTACCATTTGTTTCGCAAGTTGTTGGCCATCGTTTTCCAGTGCTCTTCTCTTGTGTCTAGTCCATTAGCTTTAAGCCCATTTTAAGCCTTTGGTTTTCACCAGTACAAGGTTCGAGAAGAGCTTCGTGAGCGTCGCACCGGTTTGCCGTGCGACGAGCGCCAGCGTGCCGACCAAGTTGCAATGCGACAGACCTTCAACTTCATGTCTTTTGAGCCTCGGTGGTAGCAGTACTTGACCAGCAGACGCGCAGTCATAAGTACTCTGTAGGTAGCAAAAGTAGGCGATACGAGAAACGCAGCCGATATGAGAATACTGTTAGGACCAGCGCAGCCAGGTTTCGGACTGTTATGGACTGATAGAAGTCCTACATAGTGGCTAGGAGCATGATACATGTTACCGGTTTCATCATGAAGCAGAGCCGATCAGGCCAGCAGAAGCCACGCATGTTCTGGTATCCCTCGACGATGTGAGGATGAGTTGCGCAGTCACGACCGCCAGAACTTCCGACAATGCTCTAGTGCAGAAGACGGGGAAGAGGATTTGCCGGGAGGGAAGTCATGCCGGAGGGCACTGCAAGCCAACCAGATCAGCCATAATTATTGACCCAAGCTGATCTATAGCACACTGAATCTGAATAGGCACAGTATTCCGCAAAGTGTTGCAGGACAAGAACGAGCTGCGTAGCCGAACAGGGCTGATGGAGACGTTGTTGCGTGAACAGGCACCGCTCCGTAAGCTCATATGTCGAGAGACTGCTGCAGCTGCCATGCGACTGTGCAGGCAGACGGCTGCTTGGCTGTGGTGACCCACAAGGGCTATCTGAGACTCGGCACAAGCAAAGGTCAAGGAGAGCAAGACGGGAGAGTGTATGTTACAGGTGCTGAAGTGGTGTTTTCAAGTCTGTGCGCAATTTCTCGTAGAGACTCGAGAAGTTCTCTTGCTTGCACGCGTGGAGCACTGTTGAAGCATTTCAGGCGGGAGCTCGAACGTGGGCGTCTTGGAGTTCCGGATGCTCGGGAGTTCGACAACTGCGAGGTGCGTGTGTACCAGGCCACCTGCCGACTTGCTTAGTACATGAGAGCAGCTGGACCTTTCAGCAGTAGCAGGCCAGCGTACCTGTACTACTACTACTACTACCACCACCACCACCACCGCCTCTACTACCTCTAATACCTCTAATTAAAACTGCTTCTGCCACTGCTACTTCCACTGCTACTGCTACTGCGACTGCTACTACTACTGCTGCTACGACTACTTCTACTTCTACTACTGCTGCTGCTGCTGCTGCTACTGCTACTGCTACTGCTAGACTTATTACTACTACTACTACTACTACTACTACTACCACTACTACTACTACTACTACTACGACGACTACTACGA